AAACTACCTTTGGAAGCTCACGGTAAACTTGGAGAAGATGATAACAATTTGGCATGAATTTTAGATAATTTCATGCTAAATTTATCTTTAATTTAACTTTAATGAATATTAAATTCATTAAATTGGGGAAAAAAACAAATTTACCATTAATTAAACTTCATATTGATCATCCAACCAAGACACCTCAACCTTATCATCTTCTTAAAGTCAAAGATGAACAAACAAAATCTTACTTTACCGATTTGCTCTTGTCTTTTTTCAAAAATTACAATCTTGCCACTTTAATCCAACGGTCCATAATAAACATCGAATTAAATCCTAAAATCCAAAGATTTATATTATTTTATAATATTTTAAAATGTGAAAATAATATTTTTAGGTCTAAATTATCATCCTTCAGAAGATTTTTCTTGAAATTTTTATTCTATCCGATTTACGTAATTTTTCCTAAAACTTCATTGCTTTATAATTTTTAATACAAATCCCGTATTAAAATTATGATTCCCACAAAACGTTATTCTTGAGATAAACTATTTATTTACGAGGCCAAAATGTAACTTTTTAAAATTACTATTTTGGTCCTTAAACTTTTCAAAAGTTTATACTTTGGTCACTAAACTTTCAAAATTTGTATTTTGGTCATTAACCAAATCATTTTATGGAATAAAATTTTTATTGAGAAAAATTACCACTTAGGTCCTTAAACTTTTCCCAATTCTCTATTTTAACCATTAAACTTTCAAAATTTACATTTTGGTCACTATCTAAAATTTTGGGTATTACAAAAGTCGTTATTTATTTCGGCTCTATCACGATGATGATGTGGATTGGATACCTAGGGGTGGTCCATGGTATTTTACGACGCATCTCCTAGTTCTGCATTAGCTGGGGGAGGGAGGGAATCCGATAACTATCTCACTAGATAATGTGGGTTTTTGGGTGCTGCTAAAGGATCTACTGGTGGGATTCATTTCGAAGGCAGTTGCGAAGCAATTTGGTAATTTCCTGGGTAATTTTCTCAAGTATGGTTCATCTACTGTTTCTTTAGGATATAAGGGATGTCTAAGAATCCAGGTGGAGTTAGATGTTCATAAGTCTCTCAAACGAAGGAATAAATTGGCTCTTACGAATGGTGGGCATTACGCAAATTTTAGTATAAAAAATTGAGGCTATTTTGTTTCTTGTAAGGATGACTTGGTCATGGAGAACTCTATTTCCCTTTGAGGGTATTAAGGGATAAGAATGATTTAATTCCAGAGTTCAACCGAGTCGAAGGGGGTGTTAACAAGACCTTGGCTGAGAGATGAAGAAGTGATGGGGAATGAGGAAAATATAGTACCAAGAAATGAGATCAATGGAAATACTACACCGATAGTTCAAGGAAATCAAACGAAGCTGTGGGTTGGAAGAAGTTTAGGGGAAAGCATTGGTATAACTGGTCAAAAGGAGGGCATGTATGAGGTTATGGAGATGGTGGATGAGGAGCAACCATTTAACAATATTGATAGTGCTAAACGACAAAGAAGTGCACCAGTCACTTTGGAAGAGGGTTCGGTCCAAAATACTGATAATCTTTCAAAATCGACAGGCCTGACTCAGTAGGCTAACTGGGAGCAATGAAGTTACTAAGTTGGAATGTTTGAGGTTTAGGGATACATCAGACGAAAAGACGTCTCAAGCATTTATTGAGAGGCGTAAATCCATCTGTAGTTTTCTTTATGGAAATGAAACTAAAGAATATACAGGTGGAGAAAATTAGAAAATCTTGTGGATTTTTGAATGGGATTGAGTTTGATTCAATGGGATCTCGAGGTGGTTTATGTTTGGCTTGGAAATTGACTTGCGGTGTTCCGTTTCTTTCAATTTCTATTTCGCATATTGATGTTATCATAGAGAAAGAAGGAGTTGCAAAGAAATGGTGTCGTACTGGGTTTTATGGTGCCCTGGAAGTTCATAATAGGGATGAGTCTTAAGAGTTACTACGTCGGTTACACAATACTCCATATATCATGTGGCTTGTGATAGGGATTTAAACTAGATAATGTTTTCTTATGAAAAGGAAGGGGGCAATATTCGCAGTGAGAGTCAGATGCAAGCTTTTTGTGATGTGCTTTTGGATTGTGGTTTGTCAGATATTGGGTTCTCGAGCACATAGTTTACTTGGGAAAGGGGTAAATAAACTAATACACTGATCAGGGAGAGGTTGGATAGGGGAGTAGTAAATACTTTATGGTTTGAAAACTTTCCTGGTTTCACTTTGCAACATCTAATGCATGAATTTTTGGAACCAATGTCCTCTGTTACTAACAACTGACACAAGAAGTAGTTGTGTGCGCATGTGGCATTTTCGTTTCAAAGCAGCGTGGTTACTTGAAGACACTTGTGAGGCAAATGTGATTAATTTATGGTGGAATTCGAGTGGTCTCGTGCCAGATAGACTGAATCATATGTGTAAGGGTTTGGAGGAATTGTTTTGACAGGTGTACCGACATAAGAAGTTGACTAGGAAAGATCTTCAATAGCGTTTATCTGACCTACTTGAGTTAGACCATTTAGTTGGGGTGCTTGGCGATATAATGAACATGAGGTTATATATCAATCTTGATGTCGACAAACAAAAGCTCTATTGGGAGCAAAGGGCTCGATCTTAATGGCTGAAACATGGAGACAATAACACCTCTTATTTTCATCGGTGTGTGACATTGAAAATGAGACGAAACAGAATTCTATCTCTGGATGATGGGAGTGGTAATAGAATTGATAGTGAGGTGGGAATGAGAAATAAAGCCAAGGAATTTTTCTAGTCTTTATTTACCTCGGCTAATTCAATTATTAATGAAGATATTCTGAATGGGATCCCTACTTGTGTTTTGGATGAGGATAATTTTGAACTGAAACTTATGTTTACTCCGGATGAGGTGTCGTGTGTTGTGAAGTCTATCAATCCCTTAAAAGCTACACGAGAGGATGGTCTTGGGGCTGTCTTCTATCAAATATTCTGTATATGATTGGAAGCGAAGTAGCTGATTTTTGTATTGGGTTAACACAGGGTCGGTATGCTATGAGTATGGTTAAGCATACTCATTTGGTGTTTATTCCTAAAGTTGATTCCCCGACTATTATGAGTCATTTCCGACCTGTCGATCTCTATAATGTCCTCTTTAAGATTGTGTCAAAGATGATTGTAAACCGTATGTAGAGGTATCTTCCTAAGTGCATCGACGAGGCTTAAAAGTGTGTTTTACCATGAAGGATTATCTCAGATAATATCATTACCGCATATGAGATGTTGCATTCATTCTAAATGAGGAGATTGGGGAGGAAGGGCTTTTTTGCTCTAAAATTGGATATGAGCAAAGCTTATGACCAGGTCGAGTGGATATTTTTGTGGAGAATTCTTGAGAGGATGGGGTTTGTGCCATAGTGGATTAATCTTATCATGAATTGTGTTAGCTCGGTAACATATCCGATTGTCTTGAATGGAATTGTGGGCAAAAAGTTTGATCCTCAGATGGGACTAGGACAAGGTGACCCTCTAAATCAATATTTCTTCCTAATACATAGTGAGGAACTTTCAGCATTGTTTCAGAGAGAAATTGAAAGGGGTCAAGTTCAGGTGGTGAAATTAAATCGTTATGTTCCTAGTATACTGATTTGTTGTTTGCTAATGACTGTCTAATTTTTGGAGAAGCGGATGCTTTTAATGCTAATGTGATCATAGAAATCTTGAGGAAGTATGGTGGAAGTTTAGGGAAACAATTTAACTTTGATAAATCGGGTCTCTTTTATAGTTCGAATGTGAGTGATGAGAATAAGAGTAATTGTAGGCGCATTCTTGAAGTCTCAGTTGAGTCCAATCTGGAGAAATATTTAGGGCTTCCAATAATCGTGGGTCATAACAGGCAGGACGCTTTTACTCATATGAAGGATAAACTAAGGGCACGTATACAAAGCTGGTGTCATTGTACCTTGTCCCAAGGGGTAAAGAAGTATTCATCAAGGCAGTCCTGCAATCATTACCCATCTATGCAATGAATTGTTTTCTATTGCCTAAGGGCTTGTACTCTGAATTGAATGGTATTGGTGGCAGAAGTCGGAGGCTAAGCGGAGAATTCACTGGTGTGCGTGGGATGGTTTGTGCAATCTCAAGGATAATGGAGGCCTCGGATTCAAGGACATGATAAAATTCAATATCGCTTTGTTGGCCAAATAGGGATGGCGATTGATGACCAATCCTTCTTCTCTTGTGGGTCGTCTCCTTCGAGCCAAGTATTACGTCACATGGGATTTTATGTCCTCTCGATTAGGTTTCTCAGGGTCATATATTTGGAGGAGTTTATGGAGTACGAATGGGGTTCTACAAAAGGGGATCAAATGGAGAGTTGGCAATGGGCATTCTATTTCTGTTTGGAACAACTATCGGTTACCTGTAAGTATTCCACGTCGGGTTGAGTCAGATCAAAATGATGATGTTGATCTCGTTTTGGATCTAGTGGATTAGGATACTCGTGCCTGGAAGAAGAATCTAATTGAAGGATTGTTTGATATTAAGGAGGCTAATTTTATCATGGGTATTCCCATACCCCTATCGCGATTTAATCAGGAGGATTGTCGGGTTTGGAATGGCAAAAAATCTGGAGAATATAGTGTGAGAAGCGGATACAAGGTGCTGCTAGAGAATGGTGATGTTACCCAAACTGTTAAGGCCGTTTTGAATCAAATATGGGCTGGAGCGTGTCAATGGAAAATCCGAATTCATCTTTGGAAAATCACTCAAAATTTTATACCGTCTATTCAGAACATATACATAAAGCGTATCACAAATAATTCATTTTGTCAAGTGTGGAAATATTGTTGAATCGGGTCTTCATGTTATTCAAGATTGTAGCCTAGACTCCTCAGTTTGGTCGAGCATGCATTATGTTTGGCCTACTGATATCACAAATGATGACATTTTCGAATGGTTATATTGGTTGTTTACATATCATACATCCAGGAAGCATGCATAAATTTTGGTGATAATTTGGGGTTTGCTCGAAATAAGCTATATCATGAATGTAAACGTACAACAGTGAGGGATTTTGTTTCCTTTGTACGGTCGCACTGTTTGGAATATTCTCAGGCGAATGCTCGGACCATAGGTCGTGTGGAACAGATCCCAGCTAAGTGAAAGCCTCTAGTCCACCCGTATGTTAAAATTAATTTCGATGCAAGCTTCAAGCAAACACATCAGGAAGCATGATCAGGGATTGTAGCTCGAGGCAATGATGGGCCATTGTTAGCATCTTGTAGACGAAAGGGGGAGAGTATTACCTCAAGCTTCATGGCTGAAGAGATAGTCGCAGTGCATGTTGTTGATTTCACGGTTGATTTGGGTTTCCATGATGTTGTGTTCGAAGGTGATGCGAGAACGGTGGTGAAGATGCTTTCTTCCCTTAAACCTGATTACTCAGAGATTGGGTCAGTGATATGGGATGCAAAATAAAAATCATTAGCCATTCGAAATAGCATGTTTCAGTTTACACCAAGATCAAGCAATGGAGATGTTCACCTTATGGCTGCCGATTCAACTTCGGGTATGGAGGATAGATACTGGATCGAAGATGACCCAGAGATGGTGCTTCGTCAGGTCACTGAAGATCGAAGGAGGTTGGATCCCCTTTAGTCGTTGTCTTGTGGGGGACGTTGCTTGGGGATTTATGCTCAATTTCTGGTTGCCCTCTTGTTGTGTGCATGATCACTATTTAAGTTTGGTTTTTCACTTTTTTGGAAGCAAGGGAGAGAAGGGGTCAGTATGTTTGCTTTGTTTTTCAGACGATTCTTTTTTCCTTTTTATTACCTTTGTTTAGCTGTCATCCAATCTGGTTCTTATTGGCCAGGTTTGACTGTGCAATTTCTTTTAGTTGGTTTTTCATTAATAAAGTGCTGCCTTTTTCGAGTGTTTAAAAAAAATTATTAAACAACGGTTAATATTAATTTTTCAAAATAAATTATGAAACTTTATGAATTATCCGTACTTTTATCTTCTTACGTAAAACTGGAATAGTAGTATGTATTTTAATACAAGTTTGAGTGAACTGTCAAACCGACTTTTCATTATTGGGTAAATTATGCCCATAGTCCACTATGTTTTTGATCTGATCGACTTTGATTACTGGAAAAGAATTATTTCAGTCCCTAATGTTATTGATCCGTTCGATTTTAGTCTCTTAGTCATGTTAGTGACTTCAATAAAAGGGACAAAATAAAAGGGGTTAAACAAAATTAAAAGCGTGGAGATTTAAACCGGACGAATTAATAAAGTATGGTACAATTTTCCCTTAATTATTTTTTTCATTGATCAAAATCGGTCAGACCGACAACAAAAGTCGGTGAGATTAGGTACTGCTATTGATTAGACTTTTAATACAATTCCACATTGAATAATTCAAGCCGTTTCCTACTCAGAACTACTACCTCCTCCCATCTTCCTTTATATCAACCGTATTGGCAATGCGATGAAAGATGCAATTTCCAAAGACAAACCTTACATTAATTTAGACTCCCAAAGTCCATTCGGCGTGGCATTGGATAAGGATGAATGCTTTTGTATTTTACTGTGCTATCCGAATTTCAAGTAGTTAAACCAAAACACTGAAAAAGAATTAGGGTACGCTTCAAAGTTCAAATCCATCAGAATCACGTTTGCCTTTGAAGATTTTATGGAAGATGTATGCACAAGTCAGCACCCGACCATGTCGAGGCCGTTTGGTTCACAAGAAATTCCAGTATTTGACATTTCAATGACAAGTAGTATTTCATGCCGAGTATACATATGGGTTCGAGTTTTCTAGGATACGATTTCCGTTTTCGAATTTGATTTGTTTTTTATTAAAAAAAATTGACTTAAATTTTGAACATTGAATCAGATGAAACAGATTCAAACTAATATAAATAATTTTATATCGATAGACAATAGACTTGTTATGAATTGGATCGACCCAACAACCCTTTTTTCAATTATAAAAAAAAGTAATGTACACAAATAGTCTCGACTATAGACACTATATCATTGAGTCTTTTGATTATTAAAAGTTACGAAATGATCTCTTGACTATAGGATATTTCTTTGTTGAGTCCCTCAACAATTAAAAGTTACAAATGATTAAAGAAAATCAAAATATTAATATTAAATAAATAAATATATTAACATCTATATAATCAAAATTAAATTAAATAGTTTAAGATGGTTAATGAAATCATCCTAAACATTGACTTTAAAATTTTTGTTAGTGAGATTAAAGCAAATCTAGGAATGGAGGCTGCACTCTCCGGCTCGAAGGCAAAGAAAGATTAGTGGAAGACTGCTAGTGTTGATGGAGTAACTAAACGTGTAAAAGATAAAGATGAGATTCGATTCTTCGATAGAGTCCATAATTTTTATTGATGAGATTCTGACCAACTCAGTTATGGTTCAACTACTTAAAAAATCTGTCGGTTATAATAAAATTACTGTGCAAATTCTGTTGTTATTGAATTAGTGTTTGAGTAGGTTAGAAATGATGCTCTTTATTGGATCTGAGAGGAATATGATTTAAACTTCATTATTTAAAAGCGTTGATGGTTTGATAGGAGATTTAAGAAAGTTGCTGGTAAAATCATCTAAGTAAATGAAACTACCGTAAAGACAAATTGATAAGTGGGCTAAATATGTGCCTCTAAGCTTCTTCATCACCACTTCAATCTACATTTTAATTGAATAATATGTGCCTCTAAGCTTCTTAAAAACAAATTGATCAGTGGACTAAATGTATAGTAAATTCATGTCTAGGGACATGTAAAAACCCTTTGCCCACTAACCTCATTCCTTTTCATTTGAAAAAGACACTTACACCCTATGGCTTTCTAATCAGCAGCTGGTAACTCCACTAGATCCCATATTTCAATTGCTATTAAAGCACCAGATTGTGCAATAACAGCATGAGAACAATTTGCATTTTTCATTGCCTCATGTATATTGCAGGGTACTGTATCAGTTTGCAACAAATATACCTTTGGTTTGAAAATCCCTCGTTTGCTATGAGCAACCGCGGGATGCGTGTTTACTTGCTTTCATTTCTCTGCAGACCTTTGCCGGCGCTGTCGCCTGTCGTCCTGATAGACATTGAGTTTTGGTGCGTTCGTTACGAACTCTCACCTTGGCCTGAACATGATGAGAATGAGATTAAACTTCATATGTACTTTTTACGCTACATTTAAGGAAAAGTCTTAATTTGATTCCAAGGTTTTTGTTTAAATCTCCCTTGACAGTTAAGCGATTGCATGCTTTCTTTGAACGTTGTTTTCTTATCGTACATGGGAGATACCCTTCTCAGTAGCCTTCTAAGTACTGCACCATTCGAAAGTGGAAATCTTTCTTGACATCTCTTTTGTGTTAGCCCTTTCCACGATTCTGGTTTGCATATTCCATTAACAAAATTTATTAGAACTATCCTTTAATTTTTTTGGTTTACAAAACAGTAATGTTTTAAGGAATGTTAAGTAAAAAGAATAAACTACTTTTGTAATTATTTGACTTTGGTTTCAACAATTAAGCATATAAACATTGCTTTCCCATGAACTTCCATTGGTCACTTTAAAAAAACAAAACACAGTTAACAAGTGAAACTCAAGCCTTGTCATAACCAAATCCAGCTACTTCTAACGTATTCAACTTGTTATGTCTTCTTTATTAAGCTGAATTATTATTCTTTTCTGCACGGCATTATCCAATCGACCGGTTGATCGATTAGTGTGTTTCCAAAATCATAATCAAGATCAGAAATGGACGACAGCTGCACAGTGTGTGCTGACAATTTAGAATGGGTTGCCTACGGCATCTGCGGTCACCGGGTCGTGTGCTCCATGTTAGGAAAATAAACCGAGTACAAGTAATTTCCCTATAACCAGATTAGTGAGAATGCGAAATAAAAGCGGAAAAATAATACCTGAAAATTGATAACGGAGTTCAGCCAATTGTGCTTACGTCTCCGGGCTGCTGCAGATCTTTTACTAAGAGAGAAAATTTATAGGTGTTTACAAAACACTCACTACTCACAAGAAATCTCTCTAGTATAGGAAGAAAGAAATGTTTTGGGATGATTTTGAAGCTAAATGGGTAAGGGTATTTATAATAGAAACTTAGGGACTAATCTTTGAAAATACCCTAAAGTGCAATGACTAAAGTGAATTTACCCATTCCTATTTTCAACAAACATCTACCAAAATTTTACCAAACTTTGAAAAACATTTTTCAAAGAAACATTTACCAAACTTTGAAAAAACATTTTTCAAAGTTGGTTGCCAAACTTTGAAACTTTTAACAATCTCCCACTTGAAGACTGATTTTAATATGTCTTCACACCTCGATCAATGCAGCAGCATGTCTGGTCTTGTTATTCTAGCATGCCAACTGAAGCTGAACACAACTTCAGTTTGTCCGTAGTCACCGTCTTTGTCAACATGTCTGCCGGATTTTGAGCTCCACTAATCTTTTCAAGTTTCAAAATCCCATCTTCCAGAAGAGACCGGATAAAATGATATCTCAATTGTATGTGCTTTGTCCTGGAATGAAAAGACGGATTCTTTGCTAGATGGATAGCACTTTGACTGTCGCAATACAAGATATTGTTTTCTTGTTTCTTGCCTAACTCTTCCAAGAAACTTTGGAGCCAAACCATCTCCTTGCTGGCTTCCGTAACAGCGACATATTCTGCTTCAGTTGTGGAGAGAGCAACTATCTTCTGTAGTTGAGAAACCCAACTCACTGCAGTTCCTCCGAGAGTATAGACATACCCTGTAGTGCTCTTTCTGATGTCGACATTTCCGGCTAAGTCAGCATCTACATAGCCTGTCAGTATCATATCTCCACCTTTGAAACAAAGTGCTTTGTTTGTGGTACCCCGAAGATATCTGAGGATCCATTTGACTGCTTCCCAGTGTACCTTGCCCGGATTATTCATGTACCTGCCCCGAAGACATACCCTGTATCTGCATGAGCATGTCATCAACGTACAATAATAAAATAATGAAGCTTTTTCTGAACCTTTTGATGTAGCAACAATGATCTGCTTGGCATCTGATAAAACCACTGCTACTCATGAAGCTATCGAACTTCTTGTACCACTGTCTAGGAGCTTGTTTTAAACCATACAAGCTCTTCTTCAACCTGCATACCAGGTTTTTCTTGTCTGCCTCTATGAAGCCTTCTGGCTTCCTCATATAGATTTCTTCCTCCAAATCACCATGAAGGAAAGCTGTCTTTACATCTAACTGCTCAAGATATAAATTCTCTGCAGCTACAATTTTCAACACCAGTCTGATTGTAGACAATTTTACGACTGGAGAGAAAATTTCATTGTAGTCAATACCTTCTTTTTGCTGAAAGCCTTTGATAACCAATCTTGCTTTGTAGCGTTTGCTCCCATCGTGCTCTTCTTTGATCCTGTAAATCCACTTGTTGTGGAGCGCTTTCTTGCCTAGTGGTAATTCAGCTAATTCCCATGTCTGATTTGACATAAGCGAGTCCATCTCATCTTTCATGGAAGACTCCCACTTGACTGAATCCTCCACTTGCATTGCTTCATCATAGCACTCTGGTTCACCATTGTCAGTCAACAACAAGTA